ACTAAGGGTCCGTTATGGACTCCTTTGTCGAGGGGTCCTCCTCTAGGCTGGCTGCTTGCACCCTTCTTCCCTGCACGAGTCCCAAGACAGCTGCCTCTTAATTCCAACCCCACCCCTACCTCCAGGGTTGGGACGGACTTACCCCTCCTTGGCATGTAATCTCGTCCATGTCTCTTTCTTCTAGGATCCCAGAGAAGTTATCTCCACCCCTCAGGACTGGATTCACCAACAGAGTGGTCTCCTCCATCTCTTTGCTGGCTCTTTCCCCAAATCTGGGAACTGGGGCTTTCCTCTAAGCCCCGGGGTCGGTTCCTCCCCTCATCTCTGGACGTCCTCTCTATCGTCATCTTGCTCTCCTGAAAGGCAGACGCTGCTGGGTGTCCTGGACACTGACCACCTATGAGAAATCTAAGGGGCGGAGGGTTGTTAGGCCTCCTCGGACAGCCAGGGCCTTTTGTGTGTTATCTCTGTTAGGGGTGGATTTTGGGGTCTGGGATATACATAGAGCTACAGCCCACCCTCCTATACCCTATAAATATACCAAGGCTCCAGTAAAGTTCAAAAGTATATTCTAAACTCAAGTTCACAACAAAATTAGACTAACAGTAGGAAACATGCATAACATCAGGCATTAACTATATACATTTGTTAACTGCCATACACCATAACCAGGCCTGCCAGGGGGCAGCGAAAGGCAGTGTCGGGGCCTTCACAGGTTCACTGAGCTGGGCTGCCAGTCAGGGCCTCAGCCTGTTCCCTCAGAGGGTCTCAGACCGAGAGCAAGGGAAGGGTGATAATTACCAGTCCAGTGGATGATGGAGGTCCTGATCCAATAACACTTCTACCGGTAAGTATCCAATTATACCCAATCGAATAGGTCATCCCTCTCTCTCACTGCTACAGTCACTGCTCATACGCCTCAGACACAGAGGTGTGATCACCATCTGAGTAGACTCTCACACCATTCAAACCTCAAGTACTCTCAAGCATCCATATTCCATTTGCGTGCCAAATCACTCCTCAGGATTCCTTAAATGCTCACCAAAATCCCATTGTGTCAGTCATTCTTCTCGCCAATCATACTCGTGCACAGAACGCCCTATTATTGTGCTCCGCACTCACGTGTAGCACATGGCACTCTACAACCACACAAGCTACTGTGCATACTCCCCAGATGTAAGTGGGTCACTGACATCCTCAAAGTGGAAAGTTCAGCTATTCTAGAACCTTCCCGCTTCTAATCAGTGTGCACGTGCTCAGGAGGGATCTCATGTTATGGACCACATCCAACAGATCCCCTCCTTGATGGGTTCTGGGCCTTGTGTACAGATCCCATCACAGCAATATAAGTATCAGGGGGTGGTATCTTGGGCTGCAGGCTTCCTTTTAGCCAAATGTCCAGGTGGGCAACACCTGGCAGAGGGTGACCTAGGACAGCGCTGTTCTCAAGACCCACAGCTCTCCTGATGCTGCATCCATATGATTCATTTGTTTAGCAATCCAAGTCTATATGCTGCATCAATTCCAGGTAAATCAGGGTGTGTCGTATCTGTTCATTCCTCTTTCACTAATGCTTTCATTCTCTTATAGAGTCTATGCCAGGCACACCACATCCCAATCATGCAGATTAACATAATAACTTCACATACAATCAATATTACTATGGGTGTAGCATCAAATTTAAAACACCTGTTTCTGTGGGAGACCATCCTAGGAATGGCTCCCACCACATGTCCCCCCCTAGTTTTTCAACCTTATTCAAAATTTTCATAATTTGTTCATTATCATGGGAGACCTCAATGATCAATTGTCTGGCTCTTTTCTCATTTTCCTTCAGCATGCTGACCAACTCTGGATGATGTAACAATTCTTGGACTACTCTCATTGACATTCCTAGAGGAACTGTTTCCAAAGCTTTAAACATAGTCCAATAAACTCTTTACATACGATAGCCAATCACATAGATTTAACTCAAAGTCACACCCTTGGATGCTCTTTATACATTGCATACACAGTGGCATTATACCAATATATCTTATATTTAAACCAATTATTAAAATGTTATTTTCTGGGCAGTCCACCAGACAGGTAATGATGACTGTCATTCCTGTAAGTATCATAATCCCTGGGATACCCAATTGCATAATATTCACTCCAGAGTGTTATACCATAGACCACGGCCTCAGATTCCATTGCATAGTCGTGAGGATCTCTGGTTTGGCCTTGATGTCTGAGATACCATAATCACGAACACTTTTTCCTGGATTGTAGCCACAGTGGGCTCCTCTGTTCATCGCCGAGCTGATAACCACCGGCCGCCGCCACCTTGTTGCTACCGCATTATCAGGCACATCTCCAGGATGATCACCATCACCATAGTTGACTGCATTTTTTCTTGTGAAGCCAAATAACAAAAGTCATATCAAACTGTTTCTTTATTCATTGTCCCTTTCACTCCTTTAGTTGGGATGAGTGGAACAATTTTTTAATCTCATTGCACTTTATTTCCAATACGTAGACCGTGGGACTAGCTTTGTCCACGATCTGAACAGGATCTAACCGTAGAGGCAAAAAAGCATGCTTTCACTCCGAAAAAGCTCTGTACATCATGAGGTCCCCAGTTTCCCATGCAACAAGGTCTTTTTGTCAGACGAAGTACTTGTCCATCTGGGTTTTGTTTACACACAGAGTGTGTGTTACGTGGATTTGTACATTTTTTATATTTTCCATCAGGTCCTTTACCCAGGACTCAGAACCTTGGACTGCCAATCATTTGGGACATCTAGGTCTACCCACCATCTCTTGGGTAGCCTCATGTTTCACAGCCAGATGAGGTGTTACCCCATGGCTAGCCGTAAACCTTTTCAAAGCCATAAGGATGAGGGGCAGCCTTTCATCCCAATCAGTCCCATATGCGTTGACCACTTTGCACAATGCATTCTTAATTGTCCTCTTGCTTCTCTCAAGGCCTGAACTCTGAGGGTGCCCAGGTATATGCAGCCTGTGCCGAATGAGGTCTACACTGGCCTATTATCTTCTGGGCAGTCTCCTCCTTTGGGGTCACTTGTATGGCAGCAAAACCGGTTATGGCCCGACCTTCACTAAAAACAACTGCCGTCCACAAACCAAATCGTGTCAGCTTCCTGGAACACTTGTTTGCTCAGCTGAGGCTTGCCCTTAAAAATACCTTTCAGAGGTTCTGAGCATACCTCGGCTATTGGGCACTCATGCTCACTACCTGTAATTACCAGGGTATAAGGTGCCACGGGGGTTAGGAACAGTTTCCCATGTGATGGTCCGGTTGGACAGGACAATCGTCCAATATGCCAGATGCGGAGTTGATACCTCTGCATCTCTGGCTTTTCCTGAGACT